AAAATTTCATACTGGAGAGATACCATATAGATGTCTTCAATATGGTGAAGTCTCTGAATGCCACAGTTTCCTCCAACTCTGTGAAAGAACTCAAATGGTAGAGAAAACCTATGAATGTAGTCAATGTGGTAAATTATTTGCAAGACATACTATGCTTAAAAGACATATTAGAACACATACTGGACAGAAAACACAAGACTGTAATCAATGTGGTAAAGTCTTTTCCCTATGCAATAATCTCAGAAAACATAAAAGAACACATACTGGAGAGAAGCTGTATGAATGTAATCAATGTGGTAAAGCATTTGCAAGTAATGGTCAGCTTAAAATACATATAAGAACACATACTGGAGAGAAACCCTATGCATGCAATCAATGTGGTAAAGCTTTTTCACAAAACAGCAATCTGGTGTGTCATAAAAGAACCCATACTGGAGAGAAACCCTATGAATGTAATCAATGTAGTAAAGCTTTCACAACACATGGGTGGCTTAAAAGTCATATATTAACACATACTGGAGAGAAACCCTATGAATGTAATCAATGTGGTAAAGCATTTGCAAGTAATGGTCAGCTTAAAAGACATATAAGAACACATACTGGAGAGAAACCCTATGCATGTAATCAATGTGGTAAAGCTTTTTCACAAAACAGCACTCTGGTGTGTCATAAAAGAACCCATACTGGAGAGAAACCCTATGAATGTAATCAATGTAGTAAAGCTTTCACAACACATGGGTGGCTTAAAAGTCATATATTAACACATACTGGACAGAAACCCTATGAGTGTAATCAATGTGGTAAAGCATTTACAAGTAATGGTCAGCTTAAAATACATATAAGAGCACATACTGGAGAGAAACCCTATGCATGTAATCAATGTGGTAAAGCTTTTTCACAAAACAGCACTCTGGTGTGTCATAAAAGAACCCATACTGGAGAGAAACCCTATGAATGTAATCTATGTAGTAAAGCTTTCACAACACATGGGTGCCTTAAAAGTCATATATTAACACATACTGGAGAGAAACCCTATGAGTGTAATCAATGTGGTAAAGCATTTGCAAGTAATTGTCAGCTTAAAAGACATATAAGAACACATACTGGACAGAAACCCTATGAAAGTAATGAATGTGGTAAAGCATTTGGAAGAAATAGTCAGCTTAAAACACATATAAGAACACATACTGGAGAGAAACCCTATGTATGTAATCAATGATGTAAAGCATTTGGAAGGAATGCTCAGCTTAAAATACATATAAGAACACATACTGGAGAAAAACACTATGTATGTAATCGATGTGGTAAAGCTTTTCACATCACAGCACTCTAGTATGTCATAAATGAACACATACTGGAGAGAAACCCTATTATGTAATCAATGTGGTAGATCATATTCCCGTGTCAGTACTCTCTAGTTTCATCATAGAACACATCGTGGGCAGAAACCCTATGGATGTAAGCAATGTGGTAAATCTTTTACATGACACAGCCATCTGGTACATCATAAAAGAACACATACTGTAGAGAGACCCTATGATTATAATCAAAGTAGTAAAATTTTTGCAACACATGTGCTTAAAAGTCCTACAAGAACACATACTGGAGAGAAGCCTTATGAATGCCATCAGTATGGTAAAGCATTTGCACATCCCAGCCATCTCTTAAGTCATAAGAAATGCATACTTGAAAGACACTGAATGTATCCCATGTGGTGAATCCTTTCTATGTATCATTAGTCTTTATAATCACACACAAAAAAAATCATAGTGTATGGAAACCCTGTACATGTAATCATTGTGGTAAAGTTGTGCACTTTACTTATTGCAATAATCTTTGTGGTCCAAAGAAAACTCTTATAGAAAGGAATCTTACTAGAAAGGATGTTGTATGATCATCAGCCAACACACATTGAGTTACATAGGATTCTGGAAAGAACAATATTGGAAAAGTTTGAACAGTCAGTTCAAACATTGCAATATCTCTGTTTTGCTCTTAAAAGCAAAGTCACGTGGACAAAAGCCCTAGGAATTCACTGATAAGGGAACCCTGTTTCATTGTAATACTTGTCTTTATTTAAACAAAAACCTCATTCAGATTGATTGACTTCCATAAGCCCAATCCTTCATGCTTGCTTTCTTTTACATGAAGCAAATCATGTTGTAGGAAACCTTTGAAGACTTTAAGACCATAAACATGTGGGTTACACAAATGAGTCCTCTTAAGAGAAAATATTCGCACTTTGAAATCTGTTCAGAGATTCCATTTAATTTTAATCATGTGATGTCAGTGTGTGAGTTTCTGTCTGTTCATGGTTTTTTAAAAGCAGGTTATACCCTTGAGTATTCCTGTAGGAGGAACTACAGTATGTTCTCAGAAAACTGATATAGGTCAAGCAATGAACTTTTCATAATTTTGTTCATCTGTATTTCTTACCCTGTATATATTTAAATCCTTTTTTATCATCTTGATATAAGGTAATAGGGAAGCAATCTTGGAAGAGAAAACCCACATCATGTGTATAATTTTGTGAACATGTGAGACGTCACACTTGACTTTATTCTTAATAAATAAAATTGATTCATGTAGAGATGGTGTGTTACTGAGTTCAATAGAATGAAGACAAATGATAAATGAGTTTATTATTTGGGAACAACATAAACAGATGATAATAAAGAACTGTGGAGTTGATCCTGCTCAGGAGGATGCAGTCCCTGCCTTTCTGATTTGATCTGCAACATGGGAGAGAGAAGTGAGAGACAGAGAGATGGAAAGGAAGTGAAAATTGAGGGAGGGGGATTAAGAGTTACAGACAGATTGGGAATGACTGAGGGTCCACCCCAGTGTTCTCCATCTTCTCTTCATGTACACACAACCAAAGGCACTGCATAAGAAATAACTTTTAACTGTATGAGATGATCTTGAAAGACAAAAAAAATGTAATGTTAAACCTGGAAACCAATATCTGTTCCTTGGAATTTGCTAACTTCCTCTCACAAGGCCCTGAGATAACATGAATTCACACTGCTCCTGCTTTCCTGTGAGTCAGAAGGTGGTGAATAGTGTCCTTAGGAAACAAAGAGATAGCTTTAACTCTGGTTTGCCCAGACAAAATTAATTAGCACACCCTGAGGCCCTAAGGTCTGTTGACCCTAATAGCAGACCGTCCGGCCTCCAAGGGTTGCATACTCAATGGACAAAGGGTCTCACCCCCTCCCTAAGATTGTGAGTTTGCCTTTAAAAAACACCTGGGCCCAGGGGAGGGGGCTTCTCTCTAGCCTGCATGTCAGAGGAGCCAAGTTGCACAAATGTTTCCTGTAAATTAAAGCCTCTTGTGTGTTGCAGTAACTGGACTGGACATTGAGTTCTTGGGGTACCGACCGAAACTGGAAGACTCCTTATTCCGAGGGTCTTACATTTTGGAAGTTCCACCAAGATCTGGTCAACCCCCAGACTCAATTCCATTGCCAGTTGGAGGTAAGAAAGAGCTCGCAACCTATATGTTTGATGTATGCCTGATGCATCTGATGTTACATGTTTTTGACTCGAGTACTTGACTCTGTGCCTAGCCTTCACAAGACTTGTATGTTATGTGTTTTTGACTCGAGTATTTGAATCTTTCCCTGGCCTGCACAGGACTTGTATAGGACTACAGGGGGAAGCAGTCGTATCCTGGAGACCCTTGGTCCCGCCCTGAACGAAGTCCCGGGTTGTTTGGAGGAGGGAAAGAGACGAAGTTTCTTTTCTCCAGGGGACAGCAGGCCTCTGGACTTTCTTCCCTCCTGCTTTGTAACTTTGGTTTGGGCGCCATTTGTCTGCCGTGTGGATTTGTCCTCTTTGTTGGATTGTTCTGGTTTTTTTTTTTTTTTTTTTTTTTTTTTTGTGTGTGTGTGTGTCCTTCTGTTCATAGTGTTTGTGTCCATTTCTATTCTCCCCATGGGTCAAAAACTAACTAACCTACTTAAGTTTGACTTTAGATCCACAGGAGAGCTGGAGACCCAGCTAGACAATGAGCATGCTCATCCCCTGCCCTCAGGAATGTGGCAGGGCAGCCAGAGCCACTGGGGCTGAGCTTCAGCAGAATGGCTAAACAGCCATGGGCCGCACATGGCCTGGGCAGATCCATGCTGGAATGGAGGGACAGGGATATGACTTATGACCCTGCCACCACACATGTTTCATTCCCAACATCAGCCTCCAGGGCTGACCCTTCTCCCCAGATCTTTGTAATTGGAAAAACTAATCACCCCCTTTTTTGAGTTCCTTATGTTCTATCTCTAGGCTATTTGAGATGATTATCAACAGTTTTTGCTTGAGGCTAGAAAAATATCCCTGGGGCCGATGGGCGGCCAGCACAGCTGAAAAAAAAAAAAAAAAAAAAAAAAAAAAAAACAAGATTGACTTGGGATTCCTTTTGATGCGCCCCAGTTGGGACTTCAACACTGCTGAAGGTAGGGAGACCTTAAAAATCTATCGCCAGGCTCTGGTGGCAGGTCTCTGAGTTGCCGTGACATGGCCCACCAATTTGGCTAAGTTAAAGAAAACACTTTTTGACCCTAGTTCAGAAGCCCAGAGAGCTTCGGTGGCTCTGGTCTTCATGGGGAAATTGGGCCCCAGATATTAGGAAGGAACTCCATAGACTGGAAGAGTTAAGAGACAGAGAAAGTGTATTGAAGGGACAGAGAAGGGAAGGAGAGAAACAAAAGACAGTAGAGAGACAGAGAGCAGAGAAAAAGCATGACAGAAGACAGGAAAAGAATTTCACTAAAATACCTTGGCTGCAGTGGTTAAAGGAAAGTTAGGAAATTTAAAACAGGCTAGGAAACCTGGGCAACAGGACCCCACTTGACAAGGAGGAACAGTGTGCATATTATAAAGAAAAAGGACACTTGGCAAATGACTGTCCCAAGAAGACAAGGTATCGAAGGTCCTAGCCCTAAGAACGGATAAAATTAAAGGGAAACGGGGTTTGGCACCCCTCCCAAAGCCCAAGGTAATTCATGGACTACCCGAAGAACAGTGGACCTCGGCGTGGGCCGGGTAACCCACTCGTTCGAGGTTACATCCCACCAGCCAACTGCTTTTTGCCTTTGAATGGAAGGACCCTGACACGTGTAGAACTAGGCAGCTCATCTGGAGCTGACTGTCCCAAGGGTTTAAAATTCCCCAACGATGGCCAGACAAGTAGGAGAATTTCTGGGGACATCTGGGTTTTGCAGGCTGACTAAGGAAAAAATTCTCCTGGACCCCAGAGCACCAGGAGGCATTTGATGCCAATAAAAAGGCCCAGCTGAAAGCATTGGCTCTAAGCCTTTTGATATAACTAACCTTTTACCCTTTATGTGGATGAGCATAAGGGGGTCGCCTGGGGAGTTTTAACCAAATCCCTAGGGCCGTGGGACAGAACAGTTGCTTATCTGTCAAAGAAGCTTGATCCTGTAGCAAGGGGGAGGGCCTGTCTATCAAAAAGATATCACTGCTGACAAGTTGACTTTGGGGCATAAAGCAACAATAATAGCCCCCATGCATTGGAGAGCATTGTCTGGCAGCCACCAACTGATGATGACCAACGCCCGCGGGACCCACCACCAAAGCCTGCTTCTCACTGAGAGACTGAGCTGATTGTCTTCGCTCCACCAGCCAGCCTCATCCCACCACTCTTCTGCCTGTGGAGACTGGTGAACCAGGGACTCATGACTGCCATCAACTGTTGGTTAAAGAGACTGGAGTTTGCAAAGATCTTAACGACATCCTGCTGGCTGGGGAGATGATGACCAGTTCACTGCCAGGATCAGTTACATTATAAAAAGTAAAGAAAGGACTGGGGCAGTGGTACTGCTCGACGAAGAGAAGTCCATAAACATTAACAGGCAACAGGTATGCTTTTTCAACTGTTCATGTGCATGGGACTGTCTCAACCATGTGGTTAAAAAAAAATTACTGAAGAAAATTTTCTGAAGATTCAAAATACCTAAGGTAGTAAAATCAGACAATGGTCCAGGTTTTGTGACCCAGGTAAGTAAATCACTGGCCAAGATACTGGGGATTGATTAAAATTACATTGTGCATACAAAACCAACAATTCATGTAGAAAGTATAAATAAAACCATTGAGGAGACCTTCACTAAATTGACTGTGGAGACTGGCGTTAATGATCAGATAGCTCTCCTACCCTTTGTGCTTTTCAGGTTTAAAAACACCCCTGGACCGTTTGGGCTGAGCCCCTGTAAATGGCTCTTTGGTGGGCTCCCTCCACTGGTGGAAATTACCTCTGTACATAGTGCTGATGTGCTGTTTTCTTAAGCCTCTGTTTGCTAGGCTTAAGGTGCTCCAGTGGGTGAGACAGTGAGCAAGAAAGCAGCCCTGAGAGACCTACGTGGTGGGAGTCGTGGAAGTTTCACATTACTTCCAAGTTGGAGATCGAGATTTCATTAGATGTCACTGCACAGAAACCTTAAGATTCGGAGGGAGGGAGGGAAGGAGGAAGGAAGGGAGAGGGAACTGGGATCGACATGTATAATAATAAATTACAAAAAAAAAAAATATGCTTTGACTCAAAACATTAAGTTCAAGGACAATTTACTGGGGAAAAGGATATCTATTCTATTTTTTTTCCACAGAAAACGAAAAGCTGTGGATTTCTTCCATACTAATGTGGTTTGATCAAGCCAGACCACCTGAAACAGAGTACCAAGTGAGCCTACATTCAAAACAGCTGGAAAAAGCAGCCTTGCAGAATACAGCCAGGATTTCAGCATCTTCTTAGAATCCCCCATGAGAGCGCCCCTTACCAGCAGGAAGTGGTTTGGAAAGAACGACGCCCAAATTCCCAAATATTGTCTATAGATGTTTGTTTTCATTTAAATGGACTTGGTTATAAAAAATAAATAATAAAAAAGACAGAAAAATACTGTTAAAAGTTTATGACTATCCTCTAAACTTAGTAAAGCAATGCAAGAGTTCTTATCAATGCTTTTAACAGTTTACTGCTAAGAGACAATGACTTTTCTCTAACTCAGTAAACCAAATCTCTGGTACACTGACCACAGGCAGGTGAAAATAAGTGTTTTTTTTTTTTTTTTTTTTTTTTTTTTTTTTTTATCTCATGCTTCAAAGGAATTACTGGCATTTTATAATATGTCTGTAAATTGTGACCAAAGATATGTTCCTTGTAATTTCTGTATAAAAAACCCAATACTCTAAAGTAAAAATGGCAGCAGTTGCAAAACACCTCCAGTGTGTTTGTTTCTGTCAAGACGGAGCCACTCCTGACATGGTCATCGAGTTTTGGTACCCATGGGGGCACATCACCCACTCTGTAGCATGAGGTGTTATTGGCCTGGTTGTACAGGAACTTCCAACTGTAAGGAAATAAAAGCAGGAAGCAGATCAAAATGTTGATAATTTGTCTTTCTCTCATCAGAAGCTTGATCATTGCTCTATAACTGTAGGAGTTTTATTCCTGAACCTCAGAAAAACCACTTAACAAACACAAAATTATAAAAAGAGTATTCTTCATGGAAAGTTGAAAATTTAGAGAGGAATGGAGCTAGGAAGATTTTTGTGTATGACCACTACTGTTAGCCAGCACATCTTACTCAGTGAGCAGTTTTAAACAATCTGCATTATTCAAGAATTCAAGCTTTGTAAGACCCTCAGAATGAGGAGTCTCCCAGTTTCCATCGGTATCCCCAAGAACTCAATGTCCAGTCCAGTTGCTGCAACATGCAAGAGGCTTTAATGAACAGGAAACATTTGTGCAAAGGGGCCCCTCCAGCATGCAGACTAGTGAGAAGAAGCCATCTCCTCCCTCCACCCCTCCCCCCCGGCACAGGTGTTTTTAAAGGCAAATACCCCATGCTTAGGGAGGGGGTGGGACCCTCTGTCCATTGAGTACATGACCCTTTTAGCTGGTCTCCCTATTAGGGTCAACAGACCTTAGGGCCTCAGGGTGTGCTAATTAATCTTGTCTGGGCAAACCGGAGGTGCAGTTATCTATTTGTTTCTTAAAGACCCTATTCAACACCTGCTGACTCACAAGAAAGGACGGACAGTCTGAATTCTGGGTATCTTGTTTTCTCAGGGCCTTGTGAGGGTAAGTTAGCAGATTCCAAGGAACAGATATTGCTAGGGGTTAACTTTCCAGTTTAGTCTGTCCTTCATTTAAAATGGGGCATTTCTCTAACTTTACTTTTTTGTCTTTCACGCCCTATATCTTATCTCTAGAGAGTAAAGTTCTAGTACTCTGATCTACAAAGCACCCCACCCAGAACCCGCACTTTCCCCACCCTGTGTCCTACTGCACCCACTGTTCCACTGGTCTGGTTGAGCACTGGGACAGAGAGCGGGTCAAAAAAACACCTCCACCTCCGGAAAATTTCTTGGACCTGCTTTGAAAATACTGGACCCATCTATCCCGCTGGAGCAACCAGAGTGCCCGCCTGCCTGATGTTTATCCGTCATTACTGAGGCTCTGCCGGGGGGAGAGACCTCCTAGAGTGACTGGAACAGAGTTACAGACATTGAGCACCTCTCACAACTCTGTCCCCAGGAACTCCTTCTCAAACACACGGTTCCGGGACTGTCCCCTGCACCGCTCACAAGCGGCTGCGATCTCAGGACTTCCGCCTTCCGGTCACGAACTAAAGCTTCTGGTTCGTGGCTGTCAGTGTCCCCGGAAGACACAAAAGGAAAACAAGCTTCTAGTTCCACCCGGCCAAACTGACACACGATTTCCGCTTGTGAACCAAGGACGTCAGGCTTCCAGTCACTGACTTGAGCTTCCGGCCTGTCACACAAAATGGTCCCCAGGAAAGGTTGCAACGAAGAGATGCACAACTTGAGTTCCACCCATGAAGTAAACACGACGGAGTGCGCTGCAGCCTGAGTTCCGCTTCCGGCACATTACTTCCGCTTACGGATGGTGCAGCGTGCGATTCCCTGCCCACCGGGCGACGATTAAATTGGATCCGCTTTAAGCCCAGGATGGAAATTGATCGCATCGGACATTGCGGGCCCGATAGGAAACGCCTTAAGGGACTGGACTTCCAGGTCCAAGTGAACAGGTCAGAAACGGCACAAGAGGCAGCAGAGAGCATATTCCCTGTCACTCATCGAGGCGGTAGGTGGGACTTCCAGGTGCGGCGAACAGGGCAGAAACAGAGATCACAACCCTAGGTCCGTGCACCCCTCTGGTTTTCGCTGTTTCCCTGTTTATGCCACGGTTGGCAGCAGGGTTCCTGTTGCCGGGGAAACCGGGGTGGGACTTCCGGCAACATGGTAAAGCGGGGCGGGACTTCTGCGTGGGAGCATTGACCAGGAATTAATCACTTAGAGAGGTTCCCAGGGGATGGGCGGGGTCACGGGAGCGGTGATGTCAGAGGAGTTACAGGCGTGAAGTATAGGGGACACAGCTGTCAATCAAATACCCGTCATTCATTCATTCAGTCATTCATTCACTCATTCATTCAGTCATTCATTCACTCATTCAGTCATTCACTCAACCACTCAGTTCGAGGTCCTACCCTCCCACTTCCAGGAGTCCCTGGAGAAGGCGGGGTTTCCGGCTCCGCCCGAATATGCCCAGGAGACAGCGAAGCTAAAGGTGCTGGAGGTGGCATCGTGGCTGCACAGGGTGAGGACGCTGCACAGGGTGAGGACGACTCCATCCCTTCTGGTCAGGTGGTAGGCCACACGCCTTCCTTTCGAGGCCCCGCCCATAAGCCTGCCCCGCCCTCTGCCCTTTAGGATCTGCACCCGCCTGATGTCATTATTGGAGCCTATACCGTCCTGGTGAGTGAGGCCCTGCCCCTCACTGACCCGGCCCCTTGGCGTCTGGCCCCGCCCACTGTAGGCCATGGATGGCTTCATCCTGGATAAGCCAAAGGACAAGGACGATGCCTACAGGATGCTGCGCAGGTGGGCGGGGCCTTAAGGGGCGGGGTAGACCCCCCCAAGGCATAGTGGGCGGGGCCTCTTCATGGAGCTCCAGCCTCTGCCCACCCCAGCCCTGCCCCTTGCCAACCACGCCCTGTCCCGCCTTCCCTGGCCCCGCCCAGGCTGAGTGGCCAGCAGCACAGTGTCATCACCGGTGTGGCCATCTTGAGGCCACTGTGGCAGAGGCAGCTTCAGGAGCCGAATTCCACATGCCCAGAGGCCCCAGAGGCGGAAGGGGACCCAGAAGCAGAAGTGGAATTGTCACTGTTCCACGAAGAGACCCGTGTGACATTCTCGCGGCTATCGGAGCCACTGCTCTGCCAATACGTGGAGAGCAGGGAGCCTCTGTGAGTGGGTGCGGGGTGGGGTGGGTGGGGCCAGGAAACCTGGAAGTGAGGCCTGAAAAGGAAGAGTTGTCCCCGGCGGGCGTGGGTGTGGCTGAGCATGGCACCTGGTGTGACTTCGTCCCTGCCTTGCACCCAGGGACAAGGCTGGCGCCTATGGGCTTCAGGCGCGAGGCGGTGCCCTAGCAGAGCGCGTGGAAGGGGATTTCTTCAATACCGTGGGGTTTCCACTCAACCGCTGCATGCGTGAGCTGGCTGCCATCTTCCCGGATGTGGGACCACATGTCCCTGTCAGCCAGCATCCGGCCACACCCCAATAATGAGGATTGTAGATGGAGAATGAGTATGTGAGTGACTGTCCGGGCGGGTATTCTGGTGAGAGAGTTACTGAAGGGGCGGGACTTCTGGTGAGTTTGTGAAGCAGTGACCCATTTCCCATGATGCCCTTGGTGCATTGTGTTTGATTGACAGAGCAAGCTTCCCTCAAGTGCATCACTTCCCAGTGCTAGGACACAGGACATGGGGTGAGGTGTGTGGAGGCAGGGTTAGGGGACAGGCCCACCGAGGGGAGTACACCTAAACCCGCCCCTGTGGCCCCGCCCCTCCTGATGTCCCGCCCTCACCATCTCCATGGGCCCTGCCCTTGCCCTCACTGGGTCCTGCATGAGCAGCTTCACCATCAGATGCCTGTGATGGACATTTGACATCAGGAGCAGGGTCAGAGGAGGCCCCACCCCCCTGCCTGCACTCTGATTTGCATATTTAAGAGCTGCCTGGAGACTCAGAAGACATCAAGTACAGAAACTGCTGGGGTTAATTTGCATGGCCACACCTCCAAATGACCTAACCTGCATGTATTTGCAGGTCAAAGTCCCAAACAGATGGGAATACTTGCATTCATTTGCATAGCAAAAGCATGCAAAGCAGCACAAATTTGCATATTAAAGTGTATTCCCGAAACTGGGGTTTGCTCATTTACATACTCAAATGTGAAGCCCCAATCAGACTTCCAGATTTCCAGGCACTGTGCTTATTTGCATAATCAAAATTACTAGTGCATCCTTTACATAACAGTTTAGTATCCTCATTTGCATATTTAAATGGTGGCAGGTTTTTACTGCTCAGCATCAGGCCCCACCCCTTCAGCACTACCCTAGCTCACCTGTCCCCTACCCCGAGGTCACAGTGTCCAAGGTCACAATCAGTGACCCTCTCCAGGCCCTGCCCTCAACCACACCAGGCCCTTCCCCACTTTCTCTCCTAGGGTCCCCGAGGGCAGGGCCGGGGTCTGGGTATTACCTATGGTGCAGACAGGACTTGGTCCTGGCAGTGACATCACAGGAAATTGTGACTGTGAGCAGGAATTGCCCTCCTTCCCTACCCTCACCATCTCCACCCCCAGCTGGGCATGGCAGGAGTCTCCTACCAAACTCTTAGGTTACCAAACAGCAATGCTAGGACCCAGAGGGCAGTGGCCATGGTGAGCTGGTTATGAGAGTAAAAACCCTGAGGATGATGAGTGTGGCTCCTGTGACATCACAGAGCTCACCCCTCCAGGCCCTTGTAATGTCAGTCACCGCATACCCTGCCCCTCCAGCTGTCAATCACTACAGACCCCACTTCCTGCCTCTGGGCCATGAGGTCTGCTGAGGGTGTGATCTACAGGCTGACTGGGCAGGGACATGTCAGCTATCTTTATAAAGGTAGAGGGGCAGGCTGCATGCCGAGGGCTGGATTTCCTGGCAAGGGAAACCTGGCAGTAGAGACTCAGGTCAATCATCAAGGGTGGGGCATGACTTCTGCTCGCAGATCGCAGCCAAGGCTGACTTGAGCCAAGGCCATCAGGAACTTTTGTAACTGCTGTGGATGGGACTGCATTTCCCAGCATCCTATGCGGCCGCTTACTGCTTCGCTGCCCAGAGACTTCTGGGTTTGGATGTTCATGTCCAGGACTGCATTTCCTAGCATCCTGTGCAGTCGATTCCTGCCTTTATGCCCAGGGATTTCCGGTTTTTATCTGTACTGGCCAGGGACTGTAGTTCCCAACATGCTCTGCGGTGGCTTTCTGTTTTTCAGCAATGAAACTTCCAGTTTGTAGTTTTTGGAGGCCCAGGACTCCATTTCCCAGCATTCTCTGTGGCCACTTCCTGCTTCCCTGCCCAGGGACTTCTTATTTTCATCTTTGGCAGCCAAGGACTATATTTCCCAGCATGATTTGTGTCCGCTTTTCTATGAATGGACTTCCGGTTAAAAACTTTGGGGTCCAGAACTGCACTTCCCAGCATGCTGTGTGGCTGCTTCTTTCTTTTCTCCCCTGGACTTCAAGGCCCCTAACTACAGTTCCCGGCATGTGCTGGGCTTGTTTTGATCTTTTCAGTTCCTAAACTTCTTCTGGTCTCTGAGGCTCCAGGACTCCATTTCCCAGCTTCCTGTGGTGCTGCGTCCTGTTTTTCAGTCCTGAAATTCCACCATTTAAAGGCACATAATAATTTAGAAATATTTGAGACTTAGAACAGTTGAATTTAAGTTGTATGAAGTTAGCTTACATTTACATAAAGTTAAGTTGAAATCGAATGTACAGATATATTATTCAGGACTGGGTAAATTGAGAAGGACAAGAGTGTGAAGCTATGTATAACATAGTCAGAGAAAAAAGATATTACAAAGAATAAAAGGCAAACGGTAAATGACTTACAGGTTCTGTTGGTGGCAGAAGCTGGCTAGACTCTTTCTGCCTAGATGGCTGATGTAGCAGAAAGAAGAACCATGGTGGGTAAAGCTAGGCCACATGGTCAAGATGGTGGCTGCCATAAACATATTCCCAACAGCTGAAAGAAATCGTAAAGTTTTGAGATGTAATTTTGTCTTGAGCAGATGCTGCCTCAGCCCAGCCCACCATGCTGAGACAGGTTGCAGCTGGGGCAGGCAGGAGAATTTGAGCGTGCCAGGAAGAGAACCGAAACAAGTTTAGGGAAAGAGATTGTTTAGCAGAGATATTAAAAAAAACGCCTTCCATCTATCTGTTCCCTGGCAGTAATTTGAAAGATCCCATAAAATATCGGGATCTAGAGAGCCGTTACGTGGCCAATTTGAATTATTTTCTAGGGGATATCTAGGCTACTTTTCAGTACAAAGGTAAATAAGTCTGGGTGACTTTACAAGTGGCATTAAGTGAAAGGGTTTTAAATTTTCTATCAGGCATCCCAGTGGAGTGGTGGGGGATATTTCCTTGGTCGGTTTATTCCCCATGGGTGGAGTGAAAGTGACCATGCAGTCTTGGAACTCATCAGCCCAAGAGTGTGGCCACATGATTCGAGAGAATGGCAGAGTGTTATTCGAAGCTCGTTAGCCCGAAAACGTTGCCAGGACCAACAGAGGCCGGAAATACTCAGCAGTCTGAGAGCAGAGCCGATATACCACACTGGGCAGTATGTCTTCCACCCATGGAATGTACCTGACCTTAAGGAATTGGGTTAAAATGTAAAAGGGTACCTTACCTAATTGAAGCCTGTGTGGGATGGTATTTCCAGTGAACGGGGGGGGGGGGGGGATGGTGGTGGAACGCTGGTATCTGAAACAAGATCCTGAGTGTTTCTGGCTGGCCGCCCACCAGCAGACAGCTGTCAGTGACCCTCATGTAGAGCCTGCCTGGGTTTCGGCACCAATGTTGTTCTTTTGCTGTACAGCTAATGCCTAAGAAACACAAACGCGAGACTCAGCGCCCACGTGGAGATTGTTGAGAGAAGGGAGAGAAAGAAGGGGTAGCTGGTGGCCAACTGAAAGCACGAGAGAAAGAGGGGGGTGTGGGGCACTTGCTTTAAAAGGGGAGGCTTGCACATGTGTAACTGAGTCCTCTGGCTGCCAGGTAAACCTTGAGCCGTCAGGTAAAGCTGATGTAGCAATGACATGGCCATGAGGGTCCCGCCCATCTTCAGGGGGGGGTCAAATGGCTGCTAGTTCCTAACAATCAGATTACTAAGTGGAGTCACTATTTAGCTACACATGTAGTTAAGTGTAAGCCACTAGTTAGAGACAAAGTAACCCACTAGTTAGCCACACATACTATCTCACTAGTACCCACACACACCATGCCACTTGTTAGCCACATACTTAACTCACTATTTAGCGACACATATGAAGTCACTAGTTAGACAAACACCTAAATCAATAGTCAGCCCCACACCTATGTCACTAGTTAGCCACAAAAACTAAGCCACAAGTCCATCACACAAATAAAGCAGTACTTAGCCCCACACACTAAGACAGTAGTTAATCATACACCTAAGTTAATATTTAGCTACATCCCTAAGCAGTAATTAACCACATTGACTAAGTCACTAGTTAGCCACAAAGCTAGGTTACTAGTTAGCCACAGTCTCTATGTCTCTAGTTAGTTACACACAATATATCACTACTTACCCACCCATACTAAGTCAGTAGTCAGCCACACATCTAATTTACTAGCTAGTCACAAACACCAAGAAAATAGTCAGCCACACACACACTGAGATAGTAGTTAGCCATGCACCTATGTATTTCTATGTATTTAGTCAACTACACACCTAAGTTACTAGTTAGCTACCAACACTAGGTCACTAGTTATCCACACACATTAAATCAGTAGTTAGACACACACACTATGTCACTAGTTAGACACATACTAAGTCTGTCTAAAAGAAAAACAGCTCACACTAAGGTGGTCCCAGGACATGGGAATCAGGCCTTTATTCCCAGCAGCAGGGATTTGGAGATAGGAGTGACATGGCTGGACAGAGAGAGGAAGATGAGGTAGAGGAGCGAGTAGAGCATGCTGTGAGATGATTTTGTTTGAGAAGTTAGTCTGAGGGATTGAAGCGATAGCAGTCAATCTGAGTAGGCAGTGTGAGGACAGGAACACATCGCTTGTCTGAGAATAGGTAGAGATAACATCTCTAGTAGCCAGATACTCTGAATCTGTGATCCTTCAATTTTCACCTTCCCCTCCCTGTCAGATTACTGTGAGTTTTTATTATTAAGATCTATTAGAACTTGTGCTGGAAGTGATGTTCTCTCTGTGGAGGTGTGATATTTCAAAGTCAATAGAGGTAAAAATTTTCAATTATTAAAATATTAACTTTATTTTTTTGAAAATTACATTGGTATCTTTTTAATGTTTTTAATTTGTAATTTTTTTTATTATACTTATCAAACCAGTTCCCTCCAACTTACTCCCACCCTCCTTCCCGTCCCAACTTCCCAGGCCCCCAGCCACTCTCTCCTCCCATCCAACCAACACTATACACGTAGGTGGATGCCTTCCAGGAGGGGTCATCTAAATCCTTCAAGTCATTTTAAGTAGACACTAAAATGTCTCTCCTGTCTCAGGGTTAATGGAGTATCCCTCCATAGGGATTTTCCCCCAATGTCCTTTTTGCAACAGGGATACTTCCTGGTCCCTCTCTCTGAAGACCCTTAGACTGCACAGGCCTTTTAGCTGACACCCATGTTCAGGGGTCTGTGTCAGTCCCATGTTTGATTCCCAGCTATAAGTCTGGAGCCCCATTAGCTCCTCCTTGTTCAAATCAGCTGTGTCTTTGGGTTTCTGCAATGTGGTCTTGTCCTCCCTCTCCGCATATGGATTCAATTTTGGCTCAGTGTTTAGTTGTCCAAGGTTGCTTCTGTTTCCATCAGCTACTAGATGTGGTCTCCATGATGATGCATAGGTTAGTCATTGATCTCATTGCCAGCG